AGACATGGTTTGTTTCACTGTAGATTATTAAATAAACCACAGTTAACTGGCTTCAGCTATTTCATTAAACAATAAACCAGGGACTGGCAACCAAATATCCCAGAAATGCTTCCAAATTCTTTTTCTTTTACAGCTGCAGGGCAAACTCCTACCACATTTGCGAAAAATAATTGGTAATATTAACTTTTTCAGGTATAAACTCACAAAAAACATAAGTGTCGGGGGGGGGGGGAGGAGGAAATACTCAAATCTACTCCACCCAAAACCAGAAAACAAAAATCCTAAGTCCACCAAGGTTTCTGACAGGACCCCATCCACCTTCCCAAAGTTAAATGTGATCTCTGAGGCCATGTTCCCACTTGCAGGAAGCCATGGCACAAACATGCCCTGGCAACTTCTTTTCTCTCCTATGAAACATCCCCACAATACAGTATTGCTCTCTAATCCCCAGGTCACAAACTGGGCAGATTTAAGTCATCATTAGCTATACTGGTGTTAGTTTTTCCTTCTTCATCCATCACTACCTAGCAGCAACCTCAAGGTGTATAAACTCTGTTATGCTTTACCATCCCTTACAACTTAAGTGACAACTGAGTGCAACCCAAGAGGCATGTATTGGTTGTTTCAGGTTGTTTCCCGTCTTCTCTGATCCCTGGCCAGCCTTTTCTCTTGCCATTCTGCCGTTGTCTTCCAAAAAGGCTGAATGGTATCTGGTAAATGGAATGGCAGTAAAATGACTTGGTATCTGTTGTTCCTAAGAAAACTAGTGCCCATATGGTCACCAAAATTTGTGCTTGACTTTCCAAAATTTGTAAACATGAATTGATTAATTGATTGATTACTAATTAAATTTAGGTGCCACCAAATCTATCTTGAGTCATAGCAACTTACAGAATCACAGTCATAATCAAAACATGACCTGCAATGTCCATGACAAATACTCACTATAAAATCTATTAAATACCCAACATTAAAACTTTCATGATAAAATATAAATACATTAACTTAAGAATAATGAACATAATTAAATAACTATCTCGCCCACTACTAAAATTGATGGCAAACATCCATCTAAGATGGCCACCAACCGCTAAAGGCCTTCTGAAATAACATTGTCTTCATTTCTTTCTGGAAGGTCTGTGCTGTGAGGAACAATCTAACATTTACTAAAGGAGTCTATCAAATTTGACAAGAGTGCACACCTTACTCAGAAGTAATTTGGAATGATTTATTTTAGTGTTAGTGTGTGTAAGACATATTGCTGAAAGATGGGGTAGCCTGTCTAACTTA